AAGACACTACAGTGGGAGGATGATGTGAAGGGGGGCAAGACACTGCTATGGGTAGGCAGAGGACACTGCTGTATGGGGGAGGGGGGGCAGAGGACACTACTGTGGGGGGGGGGGGATGCCTTGAAAGGGAACAGAGGGCACTACTGTGGATGGGGGGCACAGGACACTATTCTATGTTTTTATTGGGGGCTTGATAGTTATTATATTTTTTAAGGGCTGGAGAGGGGGCAGTTGTCTTTCAGAAGCTCGCCAAGAGCAGGAGCCAGCTGACAGTCAGGCGGCTGAATGAATCCCAACGAACTGGCCCGAATCTTTTCAGAGCCTGGAACAGCTCTCCAAAGGCAGCCTACAGCCGACTTTAGCCCACCAGAACCAGTCTACCACAATACCCAGATCCTTCTCAGCCATTGACCCCCCCCCCCCAGCTGTTCTCCTAGGATATAATATGCATGCATGTTTTTAGTCCTCAGGTTCTCTGTAAAACAATAAATCAGATTTGTTTGACAACTTTGGTCTTTCGTGAATTCAAGCTGTCTTGCTTAGAACTCCAGGGAACCTTCAACCTTTTATGTGCCCCTGCTTTTAAATACCAGCTGCAAAATCTGTATTTCTGTTGTGTGACAGACAGTTGGTATTTTCTAGGTTTTTACGGTAATACATATTGAGAATAGGCATTTAAAACACAAAATATATATAACCTTTTTGATTTTGTAGACAGTTTTAAAAGCCATATAAGTATATAATGATCCTTGATTCTGGTGTAGTTTATATATGACTAGCCTAGATACACTAATATAAACTAAGGAGCACAAAGGTGATTTTGGTGAAGGTTACTTTGTTGCAGCATCAGATCACACCTGATGTTTTTCTCAGTTGGGATGTGGGTAATGTGTTATGAATTTGGGCAGTGATAGAGATAATTTGTCTCTTTGTTGACTGAGGTTGTTTGTATATACTCTTTGAACATGTCAGTGCACCACATCATACATGCTGCCAGTGTCAGGACAAGGTCCCCTGGTAAGATGGCAAAGCTGAAAAAGGTTGGGGAGTAGTATTCAGAAATAATATGTCCATTGGCCCTAGCGTTGCCATTTTTTTTGTCCATTGAAATTGGTGGAATTACATGTTGTGATGCAGTTAAACCAGTGTGCTTTAGTTATAATGATCGTGGTAGAAAAAAGCCAGATTTTAATCAATACTATGATACCCAAAATGTGTTCTACAGGTAGCATTTAATCCGTCATAATGCAATTTTTTCTGTGCATTGTTCCTTTTTATTAAGGCATCAAAAGTATTCCGACATGCAGCATGGTAAATGTATTTAAAATGGGGAAAAAATTGTGTTGTTTTGTAATACAGCAGTATAAAAATGAAAAAAAATGGACAAAAATTAAAAGCTTACATACATATGAGTGATAAAAAATATAGAAAAGATATGAGAAAAAGGTAAGGAGTTAAACTTTTATAGAAAAAAAACTTTATTTTATTTTTTATTACAATTGCAGATTTACTGGAACTGGCCAATTAGGCAGCTTATATCACAAAAAAGTGGTTGTGTGTAGCAGCCACCCCCACCCACCTAACACTTACGTGAGCCCCATTGCGATCCAGAGATGTCCATCAGAGCCTCGTTTCTCTGGGGACTCAATCCTGATTTGCTGAGGCTGCAGTGGGAGCCATTGGTCAGTGAGCTAGGGAGCGTGCCTGCTTGGGTGCTTGCTGCTTGCTGTCGGGGCACCAACAGGAGGGAGGGGCCAGGAGCACCTGCGGGGGACCCAAGAAGAGTAGGATCCGGGCTGCTCTGTGCAAAACCACTGCACTGAGCAGGTAAGTATAACCTGTTTGCTATTAAAAAAACAAGACTTTAGTATCACTTTACGAGTAAAGGCTGAAGCCCTGTTTTGCAGCCTTAATTTATACAGGAGATACGGATGAGGCCTCTGCTGCAAAACTGACAGCCCAGTCCCTGCAGATTACACCTACTGTTCTGACAGCTCGGCCTCAATGAGGTTTATTTACTGAAACTGGAGAGTGAAAAATCTGGTGCAACTCTTGCCAAAGCTGAAAATAGAAGCTGATTGGCTACCACACACAGCTGCACCAGATTCTGAGTGTACCAGTTTTTTAGTAAATCTACCCCAATATGTCTCAGGAACATTATGAGACTAGGCTGTATGACATCTAATAAATGCTGCTCTGAGTTCCCGGGTTTACTGAAAAAAGGGGATACCACTGCCTCTATGTCAGCTCAGCCATGCATGCTGCCATGGTTTCTACAAGGGTGACCTGACCACATTCAGGCTTGTTAACAACCACAATCTTAATGCTTTACTACATACTCTTAACAGTAAAATCATGTGAAAACATTTGACTATAATTTCTTGTCCAGGGTATGGCAGATAGCATGTCCCCCTGTAGGTCACTAAGGTTCCTCCTGCAATCCACTCAGTACTGTGTTCTGTAGTGACATAGCATGAGGAACCACAACACCCTACAGATGGGGAACACACTACCTTCAACACATGGAAATGTTGGTTACCAGGAGCACCCAGAGTTCAGGAAGACAGCAAATATGTCACTTGCCACCTTCTGTAGAATTAAGTATTTGGATTCTACTATCACAGGTGACTGTTGGTTGGATTTTTCAAAGTCGACTAGCTCCCTTTAATAGCGTAGTATATGCATGAAATTTTTTTCAATAATACTATTTTGCTGCTTAGTGCCAGGAAAATGGGGCCAAAGCAGCATTTATAGTTGAACTCCAGGCAATTAAAGCGTCAGATTAACTCAGTTCTGTATTTATTAATACACCTCTAAATGTAACTATTTTTTACATGTAAGTAGTGTAAGTGCCTGAATTTGACTCAGCTTTATGCACTTTTTGTACAGCAACGCTCTGAGAATTTGATGGAAAGCGCACAAAGCCAGTAAAAGGCTCATGTGCTAACAAGGAACACGCTAATAGGAGAGCAGAGTGATAGAGAGATAAGGTCCAGTCACAGGCTAAGGGGAGGGAGAAGACCTGTAAGGGCTTGTTTACACTTGCTCCAAAATGGGGTCTTGGACATGCTTTTTTAACCACTTCCCTACTGCGCTTTAGACGAATGATGGCTACAGCACGGTCGCCACTTCTAGGAGAGCGCACATCCAATGCTGTCGGGGATCGCTGTGTCCTTTGGACACAGCTGATCACATGACATGGTAAAAGGCCAATCACAGCGGCTTTTTACCACATGATCAGCTGTGTCCAATCTCAGCTGACCACCATGTAAATATACTGTCACAGCTTGAGGAACGTATTGCCGATAACCCGCAACTTTGAAAGGAGACATCTGCACTGATAATCAGGGCACTGATCATCAGTGCCCTGATGATCAGTGCATCCCCAAAAGTGTCCATCAGTGCCCAACAGTGCTGCCCATCGGTTCCCAACAGTGCTGCCCAGCAGTGATGCCAGTCTGTGCCCATCAGTGCTGCTAGTCAGTGCCAGCAGTCTGTGCCATCAGTCAGTGCTGCCAATCTGTGCCGCCAGTCAGTGCCTTTCAGTGCTACATATTAGTGCCCATAATTGCCGCCTATCAGTGCCCATCAGTGCTGCATATCAGTGCAGCATCATCAGTGCCTCCTCATCAATGTCCTCTAGTGCTGCCTCATCAGTGCAGCCTATCAGTGCTGCCTATCAGTGTCCATCGGTGCTGCCTATCAGTGCAGCCTCATCAACGCTCATCAGTGAAGGAGAAAAATTGCCTGTTTGCAAAATGTTATAATAGAAAAACAGAAAACCTTTTTTTTTTAAAAAAATGTTTTTGTTTATAGTGCGCAATATAAAAAACCCCAGTGGTGATTAAATACCACCAAAGGAAAGCTATATTTCATATGGGTACATATGGGTATGTTGCATGACCGTGCAATTGTCATTCAAAGTGTGACAGCACTGAAAGATGAAAATTGGCCTGGACAGAAAGGGGGTATAAGTGCCCGGTAGGCAAGTGGTTAAGGCACTCTGAATGCCAATCAAAGCTCCTGTCACTAAATGAAATGGTAAGCTTACAGTCCTGTGTGCACGTTGTGTTTGCTTTGCTTCAAACATTATACCCCATGTCGCCTCCATGAAAGTCTATGACAAAGCTCACTTACAGTACCTGCAGCTTTTAAGAGGCTGTTATTCAGCTTAAGCTTTGCTTTGTTTTGTAGATATTGTAGGTAAGAGATGTCCAAGGATGCACTGGTAAATCAACAAGTGAACCGAAAAGATGTCATCAGCAGTCACTTTAGGTTCCTGTGTATATATTCTGGGAGTGTCTGGTGCAGATGTCACATCTGGTGTGCAGCGTGGAGCAGCAGGAAGATGAGCGGGGTATGGAATGGAGCAGAGCAACTAGAAGATGGCACACGTGGTGTGCAACATGGAAATGCTATAACGGAAGGTGAACGGGAACAAGAGAGAGAGAGGACTGAGCAGCAGAGGATGAGCAAAGCTGGGGAATCAGAGCAGGAGAAATTAGCAATGTCATACGTGGTGCGCAGCATGCAAGCATTCTAGCAGGAGGTGAGCGGGGTCCAGAGAGAGAAGAGGATCAGCAAACCAGAGGATCAGCAGAGCTGAGGATTACTACTGAGTGGGGAATCAGCAGAGCTGGGTGTTACTACAGAGTGGGGGGGGGATCAGCAGAGCTGGGGGTTACTACAGAGTGGGGGATCAGCAGAGCTGGGGGTTACTACAGAGTGGGGGATCAGCAGAGGTGGAGGGGTACTATTGAGCATGTGATCTGCTGAATTAGGGTTCTAATAAGCTGGGGATCTGTTGAAGAGGGTACCAATGAGCTGGGGATCTACTGAACAGGGGTACTAATGAGCTGGGGGGTCAGCTGAGTAGGGGTACTACTGAGCTAGGGTTTTACTGGGCCCCTTTAAAACAAATAGAAAATCAACACACACAGGGCATTTGTCAAGCTTTATTAACCTCCCTAGCGGTATTCCCGAGTGTAGCTCGGGGTAAAATGTCAGTGCCAAAAGCGGTATCCCCGAGCTACACTCGGGCTTACCATGCGGCGCTGCATAGGGAGTCCCTGCAGAGCTTACCTTGTCCCTTCGCTCCCGCGATGTGTCCCCTGCAGCGTCCCCGGCCATCTCCTCCGAAACGCCGATGCCAGCATCCGGCTTCTGTGCTCCGGTCCCCTGTGACGTCGGGACGTACGGGCGCGCCGCCGCCGACGGGAAATTTGAAAATTTTAAAAAATGTTCTTTCTTTCAAAACAAATTTTTCATAGTAAAACATTGCTGTTTCAACCCATTTCACATACATATTGTCCCTAGTGCCTTGTCCTGCGCTGCCTGCATTTTGTCTGTTCTTTCTGCCTGGAAACTGAGAAACGTCCATGGCGTCCAAAAAGCTTCCCTTTGGGTCAAAAGCGGGTTTAGATCAGCTAGAGAACAGCGATAGTAAATCAGAACCGCTTGCAGAATTGAGTGATAATGATTCGTGGGGAAATTCGTCATCAAACACTGAAAACGATTTTGCGACTTTGCTCAGCAATGTACGAACTTGGCGCTCTATTTCAAATTTCAGTGTTTTCGGTTTGATTATATTATTGAATTAAATGTATTATTATTATATTATTATTTTTTATGATTATTTATTAAATTATAATTTATGATTTCGTGTTTCAAGTTTTATCATACCCGGGATGTTTCATAGACTCTTGTTCGGACAGATTTCAGTAAGTTATTCCTAAAAATTACAGCCTACAATAAAAAAACTACATATTTCCATGCAAAATAATGGTACCGCTTTCAGCACCAAAAATCTGAAATAATCATACCGCTAGAGAGGTTAAAGCTTCAGCATCACCCAAGCATTAGAAACACATCAAAAAAGCATGTTGAAGTGGTATGCGCTTTAAAGTCAAAGAAAGTGAAAATGAGCCCTAATAAGTGTTACTTAAAAAAAGATCAGGTTTTTCACCCTGTCGTAGAGGGCTGTACAGTGTAAATCTTTGGACAGAATGGACAAATAAAAATCCTTTTGTAAGTCAAACAGCTTCCTGATATACATATGTTTCACCTATGTACTTAGCTACTTGCCTGGAGTTGACTTTTTAGTATTTGTTAGCAGATAGAAAGTGTCTGCTGCTCCTGTTTTAATTTGACCAAGGGGACTGAACTAGAGCCTTGTTGCATAGAACAGCATCATCTCATTCAGCTGAACAGATTATTTCCGGAAACTGTAACAGTTGGAGACATCTACAGTGTACAATGATGGACTGAACCATGATGAAAACAATACTAGCAACAGTGTGCCTGTGTATGACAGCAAGCAGTGTATGTGGAAGAGGAGCGCAGAAGGTATGACAGCGGGCAGTTTATACAGGAGAGTAATACACAGGGTATGACAGCAAGCAGTGTATGCGGGAGAGGAGCGCAGAAGGTATGACAGCGGGCAGTTTATACAGGAGAGTAATACACAGGGTATGACAGCAAGTAGTGTATGCGGGAGAGGAGCGCAGAAGGTATGACAGCGGGCAGTTTATACAGGAGAGTAATACACAGGGTATGACAGCAAGCAGTGTATGCGGAGAGGAGCGGCAGAAGGTATGACAGCGGGCAGTTTATACAGGAGAGTAATACACAGGGTATGACAGCAAGCAGTGTATGGGAGAGGAGCGCAGAAGAAGGTATGACAGCGGGCAGTTTATACAGGAGAGTAATACACAGGGTATGACAGCAAGCAGCAGTGTATGCGGGAGAGGAGCGCAGAAGGTATGACATGACAGCGGGCAGTTTATACAGGAGAGTAATACGCAGGGTATGACAGCAAGCAGTGTATGCGGGAGAGGAGCGCAGAAGGTATGACAGCGGGCAGTTTATACAGGAGAGTAATACAGGGTATGACAGCAAGCAGTGTATGCGGGAGAGGAGCGCAGAAGGTATGACAGCGGGCAGTTTATACAGGAGAGTAATACGCAGGGTATGACAGCAAGCAGTGTATGCGGGAGAGGAGCGCAGAAGGTATGACAGCGGGCAGTTTATACAGGAGAGTAATACACAGGGTATGACAGCAAGCAGTGTATGCGGGAGAGGAGCGCAGAAGGTATGACAGGGGCAGTTTATACAGGAGAGTAATACGCAGGGTAGGGTATGACAGCAAGCAGTGTATGGGGGGAGAGGAGCGCAGAAGGTATGACAGCGGGCAGTTTATACAGGAGAGTAATACGCAGGGTATGACAGCAAGCAGTGTATGCGGGAGAGGAGCGCAGAAGGTATGACAGCGGGCAGTTTATACAGGAGAGTAATACGCAGGGTATGACAGCAAGCAGTGTATGCGGGAGAGGAGCGCAGAAGGTATGACAGCGGGCAGTTTATACAGGAGAGTAATACGCAGGGTATGACAGCAAGCAGTGTATGCGGGAGAGGAGCAGCAGAAGGTATGACAGCGGGCAGTTTATACAGGAGAGTAATACGCAGGGTATGACAGCAAGCAGTGTATGCGGGAGAGGAGCGCAGAAGGTATGACAGCGGGCAGTTTATACAGGAGAGTAATACGCAGGGTATGACAGCAAGCAGTGTATGCGGGAGAGGAGCGCAGAAGGTATGACAGCGGGCAGTTTATACAGGAGAGTAATACACAGGGTATGACAGCAAGCAGTGTATGCGGGAGAGGAGCGCAGAAGGTATGACAGCGGGCAGTTTATACAGGAGAGTAATACACAGGGTATGACAGCAAGCAGTGTATGCGGGAGAGGAGCGCAGAAGGTATGACAGCGGGCAGTTTATACAGGAGAGTAATACGCAGGGTATGACAGCAAGCAGTGTATGCGGGAGAGGAGCGCAGAAGGTATGACAGCGGGCAGTTTATACAGGAGAGTAATACACAGGGTATGACAGCAAGCAGTGTATGCGGGAGAGGAGCGCAGAAGGTATGACAGCGGGCAGTTTATACAGGAGAGTAATACGCAGGGTATGACAGCAAGCAGTGTATGCGGGAGAGGAGCGCAGAAGGTATGACAGCGGGCAGTTTATACAGGAGAGTAATACACAGGGTATGACAGCAAGCAGTGTGTATGCGGGAGAGGAGCGCAGAAGGTATGACAGCGGGCAGTTTATACAGGAGAGTAATATGCAGGGTATGACAGCAAGCAGTGTATGCGGGGAGAGAGAGAGCGCAGAAGGTATGACAGCGGGCAGTTTATACAGGAGAGTAATACGCAGGGTATGACAGCAAGCAGTGTATGCGGGAGAGGAGCGCAGAAGGTATGACAGCGGGCAGTTTATACAGGAGAGTAATACACAGGGTATGACAGCAAGCAGTGTATGCGGGAGAGGAGCGCAGAAGGTATGACAGCGGGCAGTTTATACAGGAGAGTAATACACAGGGTATGACAGCAGCAGTGTTGCGGGAGAGAGGAGCGCAGAAGGTATGACAGCGGGCAGTTTTATACAGGAGAGTAAGCAGGGTATGACAGCAAGCAGGGTATGCGGAGAGAGGAGCGCAGAAGGTATGACAGCGGGCAGTTTATACAGGAGAGTAATACGCAGGGTATGACAGCAAGCAGTGTATGCGGGAGAGGAGCGCAGAAGGTATGACAGCGGGCAGTTTATACAGGAGAGTAATACGCAGGGTATGACAGCAAGCAGTGTATGCGGGAGAGGAGCGCAGAAGGTATGACAGCGGGCAGTTTATACAGGAGAGTAATACACAGGGTATGACAGCAAGCAGTGTATGCGGGAGAGGAGCGCAGAAGGTATGACAGCGGGCAGTTTATACAGGAGAGTAATACGCAGGGTATGACAGCAAGCAGTGTATGCGGGAGAGGAGCGCAGAAGGTATGACAGCGGGCAGTTTTTTATACAGGAGAGTAATACACAGGGTATGACAGCAAGCAGTGTATGCGGGAGAGGAGCGCAGAAGGTATGACAGCGGGCAGTTTATACAGGAGAGTAATACGCAGGGTATGACAGCAAGCAGTGTATGCGGGAGAGGAGCGCAGAAGGTATGACAGCGGGCAGTTTATACAGGAGAGTAATACACAGGGTATGACAGCAAGCAGTGTATGCGGGAGAGGAGCGCAGAAGGTATGACAGCGGGCAGTTTATACAGGAGAGTAATACGCAGGGTATGACAGCAAGCAGTGTATGCGGGAGAGGAGCGCAGAAGGTATGACAGCGGGCAGTTTATACAGGAGAGTAATACACAGGGTATGACAGCAAGCAGTGTATGCGGGAGAGGAGCGCAGAAGGTATGACAGCGGGCAGTTTATACAGGAGAGTAATACACAGGGTATGACAGCAAGCAGTGTATGCGGGAGAGGAGCGCAGAAGGTATGACAGCGGGCAGTTTATACAGGAGAGTAATACGCAGGGTATGACAGCAAGCAGTGTATGCGGGAGAGGAGCGCAGAAGGTATGACAGCGGGCAGTTTATACAGGAGAGTAATACGCAGGGTATGACAGCAAGCAGTGTATGCGGGAGAGAGGAGCGCAGAAGGTATGACAGCGGGGCAGTTTATACAGGAGAGTAATACACAGGGTATGACAGCAAGCAGTGTATGCGGGAGAGGAGCGCAGAAGGTATGACAGCGGGCAGTTTATACAGGAGAGTAATACGCAGGGTATGACAGCAAGCAGTGTATGCGGGAGAGGAGCGCAGAAGGTATGACAGCGGGCAGTTTATACAGGAGAGTAATACACAGGGTATGACAGCAAGCAGTGTATATGGGAGAGGAGCGCAGAAGGTATGACAGGCAGTTTATAAGGAAGTAAAACCCGGTTTATGACAGCAAACAGTTATGCGGGGGAGGGCAAA